AGTCCGTCGTTAACTCGGCGCCGACTCCAAACTCAGTTGACGCGTCGGCAGGAACATTTTCTCGCCACGTGTGGGACTTGTACTTATCCGGGTTTTTTTTGCTGCTCATTTTTTACGATTGTCGTTGCACACTCGCAACTCTTTTTCGAAATATAAGCGTTGTGTAAAATTGCACCTGCAACTACATTTGCGTTTTCTTTTCGCGTCTTTGCTCGCAAAGTGTTTTTTTCGCGGATTATTCTCTTTTTCTTCGGTCAATCTGATTCATTCGTTTATATTCCTGGCTACCCCGAGATGGGCGAGCGAGCCGAGCGTTGCCCAAGATGCGATTTGGACTCTGGCCCCTGTGGAGAGTGGGCGCCAGCGGCGTGTTTATAAAGCCACGGGCTTCAGAGTTCCTCTTGCGATTTGAACTTTATTTTTAACACCAGCCTCGCAATCCACCGACGCGCGGAGATTGTGTGGTTGGATGTGGTCGTTATAACGCCTGGGATTAAGATTGGCTTCGGTGCCGTGGTCGAAGCGTTTTTGACTGTGATTTCAAATCTTGGTCACGGGTCAACGCAGCCCATCATCACCATCAACCATGACCTGTGGGGTTAATCAAATTAGTGACCAGTTTGTGGGGAAGTCGAGTGGTCAGACCAAACTCTGACGTCGAATTGGAATTTCCACCATCGCCGATGCTTATTTTGAGCAGGGATTATGACAAGCCGGCGTTTTATTATTGTTTATAAACAAACCCAAAACAAACAAGAACGATCTTTCCCTCTATTCCTGCGCGAGCAGAAGAACCAAAAGGCGTTCCCGTTGACGCGAAGTCACAGCAGCAGGTCACAGGGCAGAGACGGGTGAACACTTCACGTGGCGGCACGATGCCGAGATGTTAACTCCCTCGCCTGGTACACAGGAGGTCGTGGGTTCGATCCCGACCCTGACGCCTGCTGTATGTTTGGAGTTTGCGGTGTCTCTCTCCCCGTCGTCGTGTGGGTTTTTCTCCCGGTTCTCCGGTTTTCCTACCACATTTAGAATCAACAGAGTAGTTTTGCTGCTGCTTTTCCATTTCCATGCGATAAGCGACTCCGTTGAGCTATATCATTTGTGATAGCCAGGTCGCTTCAGAACAAGAGCTACACATCTCAGTTATGGCCTTGCCTGGTAAAATAAAATTTAAAAAATTGGAGTTTAATGGAGGCGCGGTGGTGCCAACTGAAAGCGCCCGGCGGCATCGGCCGCGGTTCCCACGGCCACGCCGGCATCGCCCGGGGGCTCAAGTCTGGTGGGGGGACCCCCCCACCACCCCACCCACCACCACACCACCCACCACCACCCCACCCACCACCCCACCCACCACCACACCACCCACCCACCCACCCACCACCACCCCACCACACCACCCACCACACCACCCACCACCCCACCCACCACCCACCACCACCCCACCACCCCACCACACCACCCACCACCCACCACCCCACCCACCACCACCCCACTCACCACCCCACCGCCGCCCCGGGTTTTCCAGATCCCACGTCACAGTCCACGGGGGTCAGAGCAGATACCAACGGTACGGCGTTGTTAGAGAATTACCCGTTTCGTTTATGCAGTCAATAAAAGTTAATGAATGTTGGGACTTTTATAGTAGTTGCTTGTCACATCCAGAGATATGTGTGTAGAATGTTTTTTTCAGCAAATAAAATACACCAGAGGCGGCACGGATAAGTGATATCTCATCTGGAGCCCCATTCGTTATCTTATTATTTCACTTGTTTACAGAGGCAAACCTCAACTGATTGAGAATACTTCTCTCAGGAGGGTCTAGCCTCAGGTTGTCACAAGAGGGGGTCATATTGCTGCTGTGTGATCCCACTTGAGTAATTTTCTGGTCAATTTTCAGCATTTTTGGATGTTTAACCAACACCACTTACATTGTATGGGTTTTTTTTATTTTTAGCTAGGGAAAGAAAACCGCAGAACCCTAAGGCAATACATGCAGAACAGGGGGAGAACACGCAACTCCACACGGAAAGGAACCGGAGTCGGGAATTGAACCCAGGGTCTTCTGGTGGCGAGGCTCGAGTGTTTGTGCCACGGTGGCGAGATGTTAACTACCTCGCCTGGTATACAAGAGGTCGATTCCGACCTGACCCCGACGCCTGTATATTTGGAGTTTGCATGTTCTCCCCGTGGTCACGTGGATTTTTCTCCCGGTCCTCCTGTTTTTCCCTTCCACATTTAGAAACATTCTTTGTTGCCAGAAAAAAAGGGGAAACCCTATTCTCATATTTTGGTGCTTGCAAAGGAGATCCCATGATTTTCATCGAGAGTATTTGGCTACTAAACATTTCCACATACGCCACTTTGTCGAGCTATCATTTGTGGCCAGGTCGATTCTGAAAAAGAGCTCTATAGCTCAGCGGGCCTTGCCTGGTAAGTAAAACAAAAGTGCAACAGTTTCCACTCTGACACCCTCACCCATGAATCAACATTCGCTGACGGATGACTTGAATTACTCTGCTACTGGAGTGTCCGCCACAGGACGGCAACATGAAAACCGCGGGGTACATTGGGAGCAGCACCGGTGGCAATGCCGCGGGAGACTCGCAATCTCGATCACTGGACCAACTGCGCAGAGCGGTGGAGCACGCTTCGACACTCAATCGCGTGAGACTGTGCCGCAGGCACGCACACCGGCACGCATATTTGGCGAAACATAATCGGCACACGCGCAGTGGCGCCACGTGCACGCGGGCATGGGTTGCGACACGGCGGGTGGCCCAAGTCGACACGCGCAGTTCCCCGTGGTCCACGCTGCCAATTGTAAAACTCAAGCTGCGAGTGCTCCGACGCCAAATTATAACCACGAATCACCAGTTAAGCACACGCGTGTTCTTATATTTGTACACGTATTAAGTGTGTGTTCATATGAATGTTAACAATGCTGCGTTACGATTGATTCAATTGGGGTGGCGAGGCTGTAGGTAACTGCCTGGGCATGACGCAGCGAGCCTGTGTCTGGAGCGTTCCTCTCCGTTGTGATGCAAGAGGGGTGATTGGAACGCCTGCAGCCTGCAGTAGGAGGAGTGTAGCCACAATAACGAGTGAGTGGTAGGGGCTGGTCACCTTCCCACTGTGGACCAAACCCAGAGAGACTTCTCAGTCAGCCTCCGTCAAAAATCGGCAACTTGGAGCAGCATGCGACTCTTTAATAACTGCTTCGTGACAGTTGTTTATTAAGGATCGCCGTTCGTTTTTCGCATTGCATTGCGGCTCTTGAAATATTTCGTTTGACCGAATTCGAAAACAAATTATCTTGGCATTTTGGTTGCCTATGTCTGGCGTAGGTCGACATCAAAACTGCTGGTTACTGCAAGTAAAGTTCACGGCACTACTGGTACCAGATCTAGGTACAAATTAACCCCTGCCACCTGGACACAGATGCCAATTCCAGCACTCTCTGGGTTAAACCCAGACAGGTGCCAACACCAATGAATGTGTTATTTATTGGGGAGATGAACAGTCGTGTTCTCTACGTGTTTGATATGACTCCTGGTGCATCTCCACGCTTTGAGAATCACTTTGCAGAGAAGGAATATTTAGAGCTACAGGGAAGCGATGAGTGTTATGAACAATTGGTTTTCCATCATGAAGGTTTTTTTGGGCGAGATCGCGTAAAAAAATGCGTCGTTAAACCCGCTACCACCCGACACAGCCAATTAGGAAGGTTTGTCACGTCAACAGAACATGCCAATTCGTGACAAGTATAGCACACCGGTGTGTTGGAGAGTAAATCCACAGAGCAAACTTAGTTAGTAGACGCCAGGGTACTGTATGTCTGGAACCACATTTTTTACAGATGGAACCAGATCACGAATTTTATGTAATGTGTTGAATCGGACCTGGATCTTGTGTTTATTCAAGATTTTGGAGATCTTTTTTGTCATCCCCGCAATGTAGGGCAAGGTGATAGTTGTGAATGGCTCCTCAAGAGGGTCCTTCATGGTTGGAGTGATGGCTTTGCGGATTGTGTAGTCGGAGTAATCATTAGCCTTAAGAACTTGGTGTACATGCTTGAGTTCACTGGCAATGTGTTCCTGGTCAGAGATGCATTGGGCTCTATGGTACAAAGTCTTGATTAGGGAATTCTTCTGGGATGGATGGTGGTGGGAATCCGGTTTCAGGTAAGCATCCGTATGGGTAGCTTTCCTGTAGACAGTGGCTCATTGAACCAGCAGGTCTCTTTTGTATTAGGACATCCAAAAAAGGTAGCTTACCATCTTTTTCGACTTCCATGGTAAATCTGATGGCTGAGTGTATGGAATTGATGTGGTCGAGGAATTGGTCTAGAGCAGGCCGGCCATGTGGCCAGATGACAAAAGTGTCATCCACGTACCTCTTCCATAAGGTTGGGCGTAAAGTGGCAGTCTGGATGTTTCTGTTTTGTTTAATGCAGGTGGCCGTCATTTTGACGAGAAATGCCACGTGACAGAAATGTGTACGATTTATTTTGTGGCAGGATTGTGAAGCCACGGTTCCCGGCTTCTAACCACTCAGACTCGGCTCAGGCTTTGAGCCGCTTGCTTGGTTGCCAAGACCACATATGAGCAGCTCAGCCGTGGTTTGGCTCAGGCTCAGCTCTGTGGAAGTCCCCGTGTTAAGCGCGTGGCTTTCAGCCGGCTCACTTGAGCCACAGCCTGAGCCATGACCAAGAATATTGGCCGAATGTCTTAAGAAAAATGTTCTTCCTCAGAACAAGCCATTGTGACAAGAGGCAAAAAGACAAAATAAGCTCTCGTCTAGCGCACAGAAGCTTTCGGTGCAAGTCAGCACCGATGAAGGCAAACACGGCGCACAAAGGGGGGTTGGTGGCAAGCAACACGTCTGGCCACCTTCACCTCCTCAGCAAGATCTCAATAGCGGGAGAAACATCAAATGCTATTCTCAACCGCTACCTTATCCAAGCGCGTAAAGCAGGCAACACACGGCACTGTAATTTTATACGAAATTATACGAACCGTATACCACACATACACACGCGTGCATGTAGGGTATAGACTGAGTAGAAAAACTCAAACGTTACACTTTTAAACACTGCACAAAACTTGGAAACGTCGATTATGTGGATTTTTTTAGCCAAACCACAGTGATTTGTTTTTATTTCATTTACAAATGCATCGTTTGAAATGCCACTAGGTTTCAGAAACGTGTCCATTGTGAGCCAGTGCCCACCACCCATACAACAATTACACTCGATCAACGTCACATTTCCACGCGGGAATCTAAACATCAATAAAAATGCAGTCCAGCTCATTGTTGTATTTAGTGCAGTTATACTTTCTTCCATTGCTATTTATGCAAATTGACAAAAGGCACCAACCGTTGTGAAATGCTGACTGTGCGTTACCTTGTGAGTGCGAGGCTTGCTATGGCAGTGACCGAGCATGCATGCAGCGATGCTACCAAGCCCATGTTACATCCTGTCCAGGTGGCACTGGACAGATGTTACCCTCCCACTGGCAGTCACAAGGTCAAATTCTGGTCAGGGGTCAACCCAGCCCAACATCATTAGCAGTCCCTCCTGGGTCAATTCGATCAGCGGCACTTCATGAGAAATCAGAGGTTTTCCCATGTGAAGAGGAATGGAGAATAACCACCACCTTTAGCTTAGGGCCACCAAGAGAGCACTCCACTCGACACTGATCTGACCAAGAAAATACCGTGCCAGGGAGTAGAGTTGCCACCTTTCTGGGTTCCGGGCTTAACCCCACAAGCCTGGGAATTCGCATCTATGTTCGGGTGGCAGGAAATTGATTTGTACCAAGATCTGGTTTTGGTATTGCGTTGAACTTTGTGACGGTGCACAGAACAGATTTGGTAGATGTGGTGTCGACTGAGAAATATGTCCGGGTCGGCTCTGTGTAAAAGGTGGCCCACGCAACCGGGGAGATTCCTACCCTTGACCAAATTTGCAACCAACTACATTTTATAAACACTCGTAGAGGGTGACACTAAACGACCGTTGGACCTTCATTAAACCAGCAATAGCAGTGTTTTGTTGCAAGTAATTAGACTGTTCTTGAAGTGATTACGTGGTAAGCTTGCATGGCGGACAAGCCTTCACAGTGATGGCTTAAAAACTTTGGTAAAAACCTTTTACTCAATTCAGCTGTAACCAAAAATGTTTAACATTACGAAAAGTGTTAAAACATGTTATCGGTGAAACGCAAACTCGATGCACAATCGGCCACACACAGCGGCAATGCCACAAGCAACGCAGCTCGGGCCGTCCCTTCCTCAGCGTGCACCGGCCACAGCCCAGGGCCTCCAAAAACTCCATTCCGCACTTTGCTTCCCGCCCCACGCTCCAGGTTTTCACTTCGACCAATCCAAGTGTCTGTCTGTCGGCAACGCTCGGGGGTTGTGGAGGGCAGCAATTTCAAATGCAATCGGCGTCCGCCGACGAACTTGACGCTCGCCCGTAACGTGATCCTGCATTCGGTATTATCGGATTGATTAGTTTTATCGTCACCCATATCACACTCGTGTGTCCGGTCGCGCCATTAGATTTCAAAGCAGTATTACGCTGCGACCGTAGGCTGTGCGGCGTGGCTTGCGAGCGTCGGTCAATGCTGGTCCTCAAGTCAACCCAAGACGTCGGAGGCATCACTTCCCCACTCGAGCTATATTGTTCTCGGAAATGTCTTTAACATTTTTAAAATCATAGAATAATCCCACGGTAGACAAATAAACCGGGGGTAATCCGATACCGCAACTTACAATGTAGCAATTACACGGGATTACCTTTCGTAATCGGATCACAAGTTGCGTTACTCGGCAAAATTTCAATGTGCGACAACCTTTATTTTGCAAAACGAATGTGAAGGAACTGACTGGGGGGTGGGCGTAAAGCGAGCACGAGTCGGGAGGCCCTGGACTAGCCACTTCCATCCCCTCGTAAAAATAACCACGCACTTTGGTTTCTCACAGCGGTGACCGTTAAGACACGCGACACACCGCGCACGCCAGAGTTCACGGTCAAGCGCTACGGACATCAAAAGTGTGAAACACGGACAACAAATTAAAAGACTGCATTTGGTAATCGGGAGAAGAGTGTTTCGCACACGAGACGGGCACTCACCCCTAACCACATCCAACAAAACCCTAGCCTTAACCACACTTGCTAACTAACCCTACCCCCTAGCCCACTAATCATAACCCTACGCCCTAGCCATAGGTACACGAGTCAACTATACCCAACCCTAGCCCCTAGTCCTAACCACACTAGCCAACCAAACCCTAACCATATCTCCTAGCACGAATCAAACCAGGCTCTACCCCCCCCCCCAGCCATGACCAAACAAAAAAACCAGACCTGAACACAAGCACTACCCATCGCCCGGCTAACCAATAGGAACCTAGCTCTACCCCGAACCAAATTTAATCACTCGCCCCCAACACCAACCCAACGTTTGATCCTGGCACTTAGCCCACCCCTGGGGGGCTTTAACCGGGCCACCTTTCACGATTTGTTCCCTTTGCGTGGGGTTATGATGTAACCTGAAGACGCGCCGCAATAAATACAAATATCCCAGTGTAAAAAAGAAAACTCGTATTGTAGTGTGAGTATGTAAACCTGTGTATGTGTGCGATGCAAGCACGAGGATAGGTATTTACAAAATGTATTTACACCTGTTGCAACTTAATTCACATTCACTAACGTGTTATATGTATCAGAGTCTTAACGTTTTCTAAAGCAGTCTTCAAGAACACATCCCTCTGCTCGGTCTAAAATCTACAGACAGCGAATAAAGAGACCACACGTCCACGCCCCCATCAAGTCACATTCTACCCACGGCTTCCCTGTTCCCTCGGCAGGAGATGGGGGGACCTGGTCACTGTCAAACGCACGATAGGAACGAGCGTGGAACGTTTTAGACGTAGCTTATATTGTTTAAACGTACACGTACACACGAAAGCAATTGTTGGGGCGTGACTTCGCAAGCGTCCTTTGAATTCAGGCCTCCTTTGAAGAGATGAGGGGTCTGAATCGACTCTCCCCTGGTTTGAAATAAAAACAAATTTTTGTTCCGATTTTTAAGAAAAAAAAGCCTCAGTGTTGAGATTCTCACGAGGATCCTGCACTGGCACGAGTGGCCAATTTGATTGTTCAATTTATATTTTAACGCGCGTAACAAGACCGGTACACCTGGAGAAGAAAGCCCAATCAAAGCACACAGGGAGATGATGCTGAAACTCCTCGCATGTCACCATCTCTGCGCGATCCACCGACTCCGCCCTGAAACTAATGGATGTAGGCGTGCACATGTTTAGGAAACAAGGGTTGGTGGATCACGCAGCTTTGTCAAACTACTAGACCAGCCGTGCTGGAGTGTATCCAGATGGCAGTACAGCAAGTGGGTTTGCCAACCTGTCCGCTCAGTGCTTTGTTATCACCTCGTCCGTGATGGGGTTTGCTCCTTCCATCTCATTCGACCCACCGGTTATAAAGTATATTGCGATGAATGCCAAGGTAGGACCCGCGTGAAAAAAATCGTCTTCGTTATTTAACAAAGCACTCAAATTCATTGTCGAGAATCAAACGAGGGTTTCCTGAATTACGTCATCTACAGCTCTCCATCTTTTGCCCACGGTGGTTAAAACGTGGCACCAGTGAGCGGCACCGGCTTCAGGAGGCGACACGACAGCCAGCAAACGTGCGAGAAAATAACGTGACCACAGTGGTCGCCCTGAACAAAGAGGCGACAGAGCCAGCAGATGCAGGGGGACCACTCCTGTCAAGCAAAGCAATTGCGTACTTAAAAGTCACCAACCTCAATATAATATTTATAACATAAATACCAAGTCAAATATAAATGTTGAAATGCATCTGGTCAACATGGAATCTTCATATTCACACCAGATTCGTCTTAAATACAGCATTAGGACGAGTTAGTTTTACAATATTGTGACCATACCTACTGCTTAAATGTATTTCATCATCACCTCATTTATGGGTAGCTCTATACACTTAAATGGACTGGAATGGCTCAACACTCTCCTGAGGTCCTCCACCACCCCCAATGGGCCCTTTCTGGCCCGAATGGGAAATTGGCCCACAGCCGGCCATGGGAAGCTCAGCTGTGACGACGAGTTTGCCATCCTTGCGGCTTCTATAGACGCGGTCGACACCGTCGACACCGTCGCACGTCACGGGGGAAAAAAAGTTCGACAGCCCTGGCTGAGAGCGGGCGACCGATTTTGCTCTCGGTGCCGGGATGTCGGATTATCAAAGAAATTACGAGACAGATTACTCTACTTAACTGGACGTGAAAATAGTTGGGGGAGGGGGGGGAAGTCTCGAATCTGTTCTACGTGCCGCTGGACGGGCGGTGACGGGGTGGGTTTGGTGATATATGTATCGTCGGTCACGTCACGCTTGTAAGGGGTTTCTACCTTCGGAAGGATGAAGGATGTCAGGGGGCCCCTCATTAAATGGTAAAAAAAAATTGTAAATAGTTTAGTGTAAAGGAACCTGAGTAATTGAGCACAAATCGTCCCAGCTCTAAGCCAATCAAAATCCAAACAAGAAAGGCATTATTTGGGAATGCATCTGGACGTGTGTGACTTAGAAGCCTCATGATTGCTCGCAAGCACTTACACAGTTCTCAATAATATGGCAGCTACGAGGGAAAACACAAACGTCTGTGGCCTGACACAGGAGTGGTGCTACAACCGAGTGTGAGAGTCTTCAGCGAAAAGAATTGCCAAGTATCACTTTCATCTCGTTTTTGCAGGCACACTGAAAAATATCGTGTGCGCGTAAACCTAAAAATGGGAAAAAAAAATCTGAAAAAATCCATGGAAATAAGAACCATAGAAAATCGGTAACAATATGGAGAACTCGCAACTGACCGGACCTGGCGACGACCGCCTTGACATGAGACAAAGCAATGGCATAGTGAAAGAAATGCATGCCGCAAACAAGTCGGTTGAGCAGCAATTCCAGGTAGAGTTTAAAGCCTTGAGACACCGAGGAACCAAGTGCACTGCACGTGAAGGGGACGATGTGGAGAGAAAGGGTTTCAATCAACACACTCTCTATGTCAGGACACAGACCACGTGCATGCAATGTCCCTGTAACCTCAAAGACAAACTACACATTTCTTCACTCTGTAAGTCTAAAAGCACGGGTTCGGTTGTCGACGCACTCTCGTGGTGTCGCGTGGTTCCTTCACCAGACGCTCGTTGGTGTTGCTCGCGCTTGAACGGCGGTGTTGAGCACGAGGGAGCCTCGTTCGGCGCGCACGCATGCACACATGCACACACGCACATACGCGTGTACATGCACACACACACACACGCGTGTACACGCACACACACACGCACACACGCGTGTACACGCACACACACACGCACACACGCGTGTACACGCACACACATGCACACACGCGTGTACACGCACACACGCACGAGCGCGCACACAGGATTCTAGACGTGCTTTGTATTTGTTGCCGACAACGGATTGGTGAGCGATGTGAGCCGGTGGCTTCTGAAGAGCCGGCTCGTCCGTTCACAATCCGGGCTCCCGCTCAACAGCCCGGTCAAACTGCGTGGTGAGGGACCACAGAGTACGGCCGGACATCAACGACGGCCTGCTGTGCTTTTCCAAACAAGAGTTGTGATGAATTCCAACCGTCCAAGATGCGAGAGCACAGTCTGAGTAAAAAAAAAAGACATGCAGTGTAATTAGCTCACAACACCCCAGTGAGGACTACACGATGCTGTGCAAGACAAGCCACATTAAAGCATTATTTGGTCATCCTGTATCGCACCGATGGATGGCACTGTGGTCTAGCACACCACTTACCATTGTAAGTGGAGTGTTGGATTCAGCCCATCATTGTCAACATCATCACCTTTGGACCAATGACATAAGTACTACTTGAAACATCAATTATTGTGTGGAGACTGGCCTCTGGCATGGGAATGTGGAATTTTTAACCGCTGGACTTGATCGATGCCCCACTGATTTGTGCGAGCTGGCCGATGCTACCCGAGACTACGGACCGGCTGCCAAATGCCACGATCCACATTACTCTTGCGTAACAATAGTCCAACGGTTCCCCCCATGGGTATCCATTGAGAGGAGAGTCGTACGCAATAACCACGGCATGCACACATACACAAACACTCTAAAAAGATACACCAATACACTCAGACAAAGAACAAAGATCCCCCGTGTAGCCTTAACAGACTGTTGGGGCAAGTGCTGTTCGCGAGCACCTATAAAGGGCGGAACGGCACACGAGGGGGTGCGTGGCCAGCACCACGCCCAGCCACCTTTGTCTCCCCAGTGGCGATGTTTATGCACCACAGCAGGTACTCATTTGAGGCTGAGTCGACCTCGGGGAGGCCCATGACCGATTAAAATAATGGTTACCAGTGTTGGCCATGAGTGGAAATCGAACTCGGGTCGCCGGGTTTGTAGCACAGCGCGCTAACCGCTGCGCCACCGCCCCCTCCTCAGATACACAAGTCTATGTGCGCACAGAAAACAAATAAACTCGCACAAACACAAATGTGCGTAAAAAAATAAAATACACTAAAACCTCTAGAAGCCAGAATAATTGTGGGGAGAACCTTTCCAGATATGGGAGATGTCTGGAATAATGAAAATAAAAACTACGTTTTTTATTATGTTTGTATGTAATTACAACCCAAGACATTAAATTAAACGCTCTTATCTAAAGCAATATATTTACAATGTAACACCGCGTGACATCTCTACGTCTTCGAGCGCGCACTCCAGTCCGAGTTTCCGTGACCGCGACGGCGCTCGTACCGGAGGGGCTCAATGGTGTCACTTGTCGTCGCCGTCGTCGTCGTCGTGCGGTAGCGACGATACGGGGCTGCCCTCGACGTCGCCCACGATGATGTCGTCGTAGGCGGGCGGCGGCCCGCTGGGCGTGGGGCTGGCGGCACGCCCCGCCGGCCCCACGTACGAGGAGGTGACCGCCAGGCCGGTCACCTCCTCGTACGAGGGCGGCGGCTCCACGTTGGAGACGCGCGACGCAACGGACGCCGAGCTGGGCCGGTGGCCGAGCGACGCCGTCTCGCGGTCCCCCGCGCCGTCCCCCGCGAGGCCGCGCAGGCCCTCGCACGGAGCCTCGAGCAGCACGGTCGGGCAGCCCCGCGCCTGCGGGGCAACGTGGGGGGCGCCAGGTTGGAGGAGGGAGCCGATGAGTGGCGGGACGACACCGCGAGCGACGCTAGTAAGACTAAAGAAAGGTATCCACGGGGACGGCCGCAAAGAATGACTGACGAGAAGGGAGCTGGAAACACGAGCGAAGACATGGCACCCGGTGAGGCGATGAGAGAAGGGACGATAAGTGTGGAGAGAAGACAAGGACACGACAAAGGATGATGAGAGGAAGTCTCGAACGATACAAAAGGTGAGTCGAAAGAAGGGACGATGGGAGAGTAGAGACAACGTCAGTGATGACGTGATACTCATGGAGAGATCGCGAGGGAGACAAATTGGCAATAGGGAAACGAAGGCATGGGAGATGATGACAAAGAAGGAATAATGAACAGAGATTATGAGCAGGAATGGTGAGGGAATAATGGCGACAGATTGGGTGGAAAGTGGAAGATGCCGGCGAGCGATGGGATGACATCGGTGGAGAGATGACTGGAGATAGGATAATCCCTGGAGGATAATTTTAAGTGAGATAAAGGGTAGGTAACCCAAACCTTTTCCAAGCAAAGGCATGCCCTGAACCATGAGCCTGCATGAGTGAGTGCTGTGCAATGTTTGGCAAATGCTTACAATGCCTATTAAGTTAACCTCTGTACTCCTCCAATGCACGGGTTGTGACTTACCGGTCCCGACGACTCGATTCTCCCTCTACCTTAAAGCACGGGGGCAACGCGGCCAAAGCGGCAGGGAAGACCCGAGAGTGTCTCCATCCGTGCCGCCGTATTTTAAAGTTCGACTCGGCGCCCTACCCCCCCACACCCCGCCCCAGGGGGGAGCGTCAAGAGCCGGCACGCACGTAGGCGCTTTCCACGCCTCTCACCTCCGCCGCGTGTCACTTTTCACGTGTTAGCATAGCACGCGCGGGCCACCGCCGCCACGGTGACCACGGGGGGTTTGCATTGCCGCTCCCGTTTAGCGGCTGCTCGTGGGAAGGATCTCACGAGGCGAAGGGTTCGGGTTACAAACAGCCACGAAACACCATGTGGTCGGAATCCCGTGGCACCCTCGAAACGCCGACGCCGTGCCCGGTGTGATTACTGCCGACGCTGGCTATTTGAAACTTCAGATGGCGACAAAAGACGTATTGAGGGAAGATTTTTTTTTTAAGCAGCGTTTAACAAAAGGGAGCCCATCTGTCAATGTGTGGCCTGCGAGCCGCTGAGAGTTGTCAAATGATGGGAAAGAGCTTAAGGTGAGTGCATACCGTGCCGGAACGCTTTTGAACATCACGGTGACGTGCCCACACCAGTAAATATCTACACAACTTGCGAGATGTTAACTACCTCGCCTTGTATGCAGGAGGTCATGGGTTTTATCCCGACCCTGTATATTTGGAATTTTGCATGGTCTCCTCGTGGTTGTGTGGAATTCTCTCCGCGTCCTCTGGTTTTTCCCCTCCACATTTAGAAACATGCGTTTAGAGTATTTGGCTGCTATACATTTCTATGTGATAAGCCAATTTGTTGAGCGATCATTTGTAGGCCTTACATGGTAAACACACTTTTTGTTTTTGTTTTAATAGTTCCTGCACGAATGAGGGTGGGACCATGCTCATTTCCTGTTGATCAATTCAGTGATGCATGAGAGGGGTTATTTGACCATATTTCACCATGTTGGTTCGTACGAGCTTTGAATAATAAGTGTTCTTTTATAGCACGATTCATGCAAACTGCATCTTACAATGTTCCACACTGAGGCACATATATATACATTAAGATTTTCCAGCTAATTCATAAGTGTTTACAGGTAAGTGTTTATAGATGAACACTGGAGCACGCACAGAAAACCCACGAGTACGAGAGGACACTATCCGACACAGATGAAAATGTGATTAAGAGTACTCTGTCGTTCTATGAAGACACTAGCCTCTGCCATGGGAATATACAATTTCCACCACTGGCTCAGGACTGCTGATGAGTGTCAGGACATGGCTCGCCGGAGGCATCCATCGTTATAGCATCTAAATTGTAATCACCGAGCTTCGTCTTTCACACGTCCACCGGACATTTCTGCAAAGTGCAGGTTCTGAGTTGTAAGGAAATGTAGGGGGAGGGGGGAGGGATCTGCCCACCCCAATAGTAAACTAAACAATTTTTTTTATTTTACCAAATAAGGCCCACTGAGCTATACAGCTCTTTTTCAGAAGCGACCTGGCCACAAATGATAGCTCAAAGAAGTAGCTTATCATGTGGAAATTTAGCCAAATACTCTAAACGCGTGTTTCTAATGTGAAGGGAAAATCCGGAAGACCCGGATAAAAATCCACGCGACCACGAGGAGAGAGACAAGCAAACTCCAAATATACAGCAGGCGTCAGGGGTCGGGATCGAACCCACGACGACCTCCTGTATACCAGGCAAGGTGGTTAACATCGCCACCGTGGCGCCCTACACAACAACCCCTGCGGCTCGTGTTCTGGCACCTGTGGGAGACGATAGTCGAGGCCGGAACCGTGCTCGTATGCGCGGTGCTGCTGGTGCTCGAGCGGGGAGGGGTGCTCCGACTGCTCCGCGAGGCGGCGCGAGCGGTAGCGCCACAGCGACAGCAGCCCCACGAGCAGCAGCAGCAGAAAGGTGGCGACGGGAACCACCACGAAGAGGCTCACGGCGCCATCCGAGTCCGGCGTCTTGTGCTCCGCCGTGTACTCGATCCAGAACTCCCTCTGCTCGCAACGCAAACAGATCCCGCTCTTAACAAGCACACGAGAAGGGCAACACAGCATGCAAGGGGGAATTGTGGCTTTCACCACGCCTGGCCGCCTTTTTCTCACCAGTAGTGACGTTGACACACCGCACCACATACTCATTTAAGGTTATGTCGACCGACGGGAGGTACACGATGGGTTCAGTCACTGATGTTGGCCGTGAGCAGTAATCTAAATTGGGGAGCCCGAGTTCACAGCGCAGTACGTCGAGCCATTACGCTACCGCTCCCCACACTTGTACATACAACAGCTGCCATTCTCCACTAATTGGCGGTGACGTCACCCCATCGCTTGTGCCAGGCGAGGCACACTTTGAGGTCACATTAAGTGTCAAAAGGCTCACTGACCGGAGGTCATGCGACAGACCCAGGTGTTTGGGTGAACATCCTTTGAAGACTGCCAGATGTTACTACCTGTGCTGCCCACTGTGCGAACTTGCTGTGTTTTAGCCGCCCAGCACTCCACTATTTGTTGTGAGTGTCGCTTCTCTGCCCTCGGCTGTTGTTGGAGGGCAGCTGTCTCCAACTGCCAAGTAGCGTCCTTCACGAGCCTCCTCCACGGAGGCCGATTTGACACAGCTGTTACCAGTCATCAGCAAGTCCACTCAGCTCGACGTCCTCTGGTGCCGTGCAGTCCCTTTTATCCAGCCAAACAAACTGCTTGGACATGCGGGCTACATAACGCAGCCAATGAAGCCTCACCTGCCATAGAAGCTCATGGATGGGACTGTGTCCAGATTTCTCAAGGATCAGCGAGCTCCTCACACAATCCAGCCTGGCTAAACTGAGGATGGATCGTAGGCAGGCCAGTCTGAATGTTTCGAGCTGGCGCGGAAGTTCCTTTAAAGGGGTCCACATTTTGCAAGCGTAAAGGGAGGGTATAACTGTAGCCGAAATTATCCGAAGCTTCATATGGAGTGATAGATCAGGCAGCTTGCACACAGCATTACGCAGCTGACGAAAACATGCTGCGCAACTGATTCGGAGCCCTCTGCTGCCAAACCGGAACTAGTCACAAGCATATTCTTGGTTCTTTCGGTAAAGTCACGTAGATAGAAAATAAAAATATATAATTTAAATTAAAAAGAATTAATTTAAAATAATAAAATTAAATAAAACCACGACGTTTCGATCGCAACAAAAGCGGTCTTCATCAGGCGGAGAGAAAAGTGGGGGCAAGCCTCCAGATGCAACTGCTGATAAGGGTTTCCAAAGTGAGTGGGCGGATTGAGGCTCGTGGGTAGCGTCTAGAAGCATCCAGAAGCATCTGTGCGATCCTATGCCGAGGCAGCCGTATGACCGCTTATTCCGACACGCGCGACCTAGTTTCGATCGCGTTACATCCATTTCACATCCATCCATGTTATAAAAAAAAACGTGTTCCCTAATACGTTCATCGCATTACATACAATTCACATTACGAAAACTACGCGTTCCAGGAGAATGGACCGCACACCCACGCTTGCTCCCTGCACGCCGTGTCCCCGGTGACACAGTGGGCACACCCCCCCCCACACTCCTGCTAGGTAGCGGTGGCATGCGTACGGTTTTCTCGTCGTTCTCGAAGGCCTCGCGCGCCTCCTCGTAGTTGCAGCGCTCCTCCACGCACTCGCGCTCGATGTTGCCCTGCTTCATCTCCTCCAGGTATGCGTTGTCGCGGCCGTAGCGGCGCAGTACGGAGCGCGCCACCTCCGGCGACAGGAATACTGGGAAGGGACAAACGCCGGGGGGTGGGGGGCTCAATGACGCTGGCAAGCTACACCGCATCTACGTACGACGCACATCGTCGGTGTCACACGTTACCAATACACTGTTGCACGAAGGCCTCTCCCAATTTGTCCCAACACCTGCACTGGAGGGGATTGCCACTCCATCGCTTGTCTCGAACACAGGCTTACATCATGTTGGTCAAAGTGTCTTGCGCAGGCCCAGTCGTCTTTCTAAAGTCAATACGATGCCTTTAACCTGCGTTTGTTCTCTAACCAATGAGTTCCTCCTCCTGCCTCTCAGTGCAATTCAAAGCATGCACCTCTCCATGATTTTTTGCTCACTTGTCAGTGTCTTGTCCCATTTTCTTCATTAACTTCTTTAATCTAACAGCACATATAAAAAAAAAACATAACTGGCATTTGTAATTAACAATGCCTCATAAGAAAAAAATGATACATTTCGATTTAATATGACTTTGAGACCCCCCCCACCTCCTATGCATTCCACAAGTAGTGACTAATCCCATATCTGCATTTTTGCCATGAATATGCTAAATTCCTCTGTTGATATGCAAATTCCTTTGTCAAGGCGCCCTTCCTCGCCTAACCCAGCTTAAATATACGCTGCCATGCTTGGTGGTGTTCATTCAGACGCTGTCTTTTCGACAGACCTGTTCTTCACCTGAGGACGGCTGCTTGCTTTGTTGGCGAAACGTCGTGAGAATTGTATTTTATTATGTTTTGTTTTTATTATTTTATTATTTCCCTTCTACGTGACTTTACCGAAATAACAAAGAAGAAAAAGATGATAGGTTAACATGTCAGGCAATATCCTTGCTTCAGAGCAGACAGCTCTATGATGTCATAGGCCTTATCAAAAATAACTCGGAACGTGGAAAAAATCTCGTCAGATTTTGCAAGTCAAGCAAGGTTGATCCACGCATGACAGGTTGTTATAGGCTGTGGGGTCACGTGGTAAGTAGCAGTGGGCAGTGCAAAATAATCCATCGTTGTACTGTAATGTCAGTTTAACACGTAGGCTTTCGCGACCAATGTTATTCATAATCAACGTTTTTGGGTTTAGATCGCGTTTATTTATAAATGTGTCGTAACCCTCCACCACCCGACACGGCAAATCAGTAAAAATGTGTCACGTTGACAAAGACAAATAGTTCACTGCTTTAGCCCACCGGTGTGTTGAAGCCACAACATTTACTCAAATTGTAAATGTTGTGGCTTCAACACACCGGTGGGCTAAAGCAGTGAACTATTTGTCTTTGTCAACGTGACACATTTTTACTGATTGGCCGTGTCGGGTGGTGGAGGGTTACGACACATTTATAAATAAACGCGATCTAAACCCAAAAACGTTGATTATGAGTACTGTAATGTTTTGCTTCCCCACCTTCCCTAACCCGTACTGATCGGCATGGTGAAGTAATAACCCTCCCACAACCCACACAGCGTGGGGTAGGCCCTCATCCAGCAGTGGATTGACAAAAGAGCTGCAAGCGTACATGGTTCTATGCACCGCAAGCCTAGGAATCTTGTTAAGCAATGCGCCGATTAATGTTTGCATCTCCACTTCTCGGTCTCACCTGGGCAAGGACCCCCCCCCACCGGTGACTGATGTGTGACTCTGCTCCCGAAGGAAAGGTCACGGCACGGTATGTGTGCGCACGCCACTTTATTTGTCAATGAGCGATTGGTGGCGGTGGGGGGGCTGGCGAGGATCCCGTGTGAACCGGGGGTGGTGACGCGCGTCTGCCCACGCGCTCCGCTCTGCTCGCCTCGTGACTTACGGCTCGCTCCTAACCACACTACTGTGCTCTACAATGATAATAATAATAACAACAGTCAAGGCAAAGTGTCTCTAAAAGCTCGGGCAGGAGCAGATGTGCAACACAGAAATAAGTATGAAAAGATGGATTTCGGGGATCATAAGACAAGATCTGGTCAGAAATGAACAGGAGGAAGGAGGTAAAGAATTGTCCCCATCTTAGATGGACAGAAAGTCGACTCGTAAAGCTTGGACATGTTGGTAAGGGTTTAGTGGTACCATCTTGGGCAAGCTGAGAAGTCACTCAAGACGTCTGGAATCACCAGGGCGGAGATCGAGAGTGACAGGTCTAGAAGTGGTGAGCTAGGATTTGCAAAAATCTGGAGTGGATGCAGACATTATTAAGCAGGACAGGAATTTTTCCCTTTCATTTTGAGTCCTTCAAATGAAAGGAAGAATTCCAGGGCGGAATAGTCAAGCCAAAGTGTCTCATTAAACAAGCAACGGGAGGCCCTCGGCTTCACTGGCAGCCATGGAAAGTCTACTTTCCCAATGCTAGCAGCAGACTATATAGGATAACCATTAAAGTGGAACCATTCGCATGAACTTGAGAGAGGTGTCAACTCCCCCCCGGAAATTTAACTCGCGAGTCACAATCTTCCGATTACGATGCAATCTAAAAACAATCGTAGATTAATAGCTCTTCAACAAGTATTTATCGATTCACTGTTTGAAACCGATTGTTAACCTCACTGTATATGCATCGAATAGTATGGATAAAACCTGTTAAGAATGTATGCAAATGAGATGGCCATCGGACGAACAGGACATGGTGAAATCAAGTTTAATGGAAGACACAGGCAGACTTCGCTTAGTGCAACCCCATAAGAACGCCGATTTGCTTTAGCGTTTTTTGTCCTGGAGAAGTGGTTTGCAAAAGAAAAAAATGTTAAATAAAAAAAATCTAAAAAGAGTTTACGAGTGAGAACGTGCAGCAGCGCCGGCCATCGTTCACTCAGCCAATGACAGCGACGTTCGCTCCAAGCCAAGTAATCCGGCGATTCGATTATCACAATTCGTGGGCACAATTATTTTTTTTCTACACCAATTAATTTTCTCTATGTAATTACAGTGCGTTTAGCTGGGTGACAAGTCACGAGACTAGGATGGAGTTTCAGGCTCCACCTAAAAGAAACCTAACCACAGAAATGTTGACCGAGGGCATCGCTAAGACCATGGAGGTTCTTGGGAGCTCTTTTCTGAGAATGACCCGGACTGGGAGCTAAGCAGCTCCTCCAACCTAGCCTTGACACCGCTGAGATGTAGGAGTACAGTAGAACGCACTGGTGAGTATAGAACATAATACTTATTGATGTTACTTTAAAAAAAATTTCTAAGCCAATTTTTACCATCTGTATTAATATTTGCGCTCATACCGATACCCAAATTAAGCCCTCATATTGCTCATACGTATGAAATTAGGCTGTCTGGAACGCATCCCCGTACAAACAATGGTATAATGACCTCGTTTAGTGCCGATCCAATTAGTGCCCACTTCTCCAGGAACACATCCCGAGCACTAAACGAGGTCTGCCTGTAGTATTAATTATATATCACAAACCAAAAAATGCTATCAATACTTTAATAGAACCGGAAACTACAAATCATGAAAATTCACAAAAAGTAATCTGCATCATCAACCTCCCGGTTTGTTATCCCCCACCTACCTTGCCTCTTGTGCAGAGCCATGTTGGGCGGGCGTCTCCCCCACGCTGGATATCCCCTGGGCCAAGCGACGTCAACTCTCCATCACGCCGTGGCCAGCAGATCGGCATCGACAGGAGCGTCCGCGCTGAGGTGGGGCGGCACGTGAGGCCAGGGCGGCAGCAGCACCCCACGACCTGTGCCCAACGAGAATTATTGTGACGATCAATTTTTTTTACTTACCACATAATGCCCACTGAGCTATACAGCTCTTATTTTTTTAGAAGCGACCTGGCCACATATTATAGCTCAACAAATTGGCTTATCATCGTGTGTAAACTTAAAGCTGCCAAATACTCTAAACGCAAGTTGAATCTAAATGTGGATGGAAAACCGGAGAAAAATCCACGCGACCACGGGGAGAACATGGAAACTCCAAATATACAGGTGTCAGGGTCAAGATCGAACCCACAACCTCCTGCAGACCAGGGGCCGTAGTTTATATCTCGCCACTGTGGCGCCCACACACTTGGTCACCAAGGAAAGCCTCACAGAGTCTCAAGACGATTCTTCAAGGAGGCTCCTGCTATGGTAATTTGTAGGTAATTTTTCAGCATCAAGATGTTGTATATATCTTGACTTTCTTTTACACCGTATATAACCAACCATGCAAATCGGAGGTGCGGGTGAAGGACAACAGAACACGCGTGCCAACAAGGACACTCAATTGATTTTCATGTTGAAGTTCTGTGCAAAACTAACTACTACTGGCCAAGACTAATTCGAGAATCTATCGAAATTGAAACAAATAAAAATTATTTTAAACTTTCGGATAGCTACCGCCTTAGTGCTGCGTGGAAGTGAATAATCAAATAATACATTATTTAAATGCATGCCTATAAAGGGCATCCTACTTTAATAGAGATTAACGTTGGTACGGCTATTTTTATACACACAATAGACAGGACAAGATCAAAGGGCTCGCATGATGCACATGCATAATGTACGTTGACACATTAATCCCCCCCCACTTTGCGCAAGAGCGCAGAAGTGTGGCCACCACATCTACGCCTCTATATAAGGAACGAAACAGGTGGACTTCTCCACACATCTGGCTGTCGCCTGATGCAGCTAGTTGTAATTACTGGCGAAACGTCATAGTCAGATTGTAAATGTTGTGGCTTGGCTCTCCAACACACTGGTGTGCTGTACTAGTGACGAATTGGCACGTTCTGTTTACGTGACAACCCTTACTAGTTGGCTGTGTCGGGTGGTGGCGGGTTTTAACACATTAATATATTTACGCGATCTAACCCAAAACAACCTCTTAAAGCCGACGTGTTAAACGGACAACTAAACACAAAAAGCAGTTCGAAATAAATTAGTTTTCAATCCATATTTTAAAGTGCACAGCTCCGGTGGCTTCCTAATGTTTGACTAATACGAGTTACACATTGCACATTTGTTTTAGCTACTGGAGGAAACAGGAGAACCCACATGAAAATCACGTACAACGGGGGAGAGAACATACAAACTCCACACAGTCCAAGTCAGGAATCAAACCCAGGCTGTTCTTTCTGTGAGACACAAGTGTTACCACTGTGCCACCCTGCCGTTAAAAGTAATTTTAACTGCATGAACATTCAACAGTAATCGTGTTTAAAACCAATTTTTATCTATTTATGTTCAGCACGTAGGCGTCTTCTATATCGGTCGTTAATGACCCTGTGTCAGAACAGGTAGCAGTACGCACTGATTAAACGCTCGCTTCTTCTCAAACCTGCTCTCATTTACATCATGAATAGAAAATATCTATTTATGCTCTTGGGAGGGTGACGTCGAATTTGCTGGTGTAATTAAATAACAGATCTACGTCTCCTGTGGCTGTATCATTGTGGTAATGGCCCATAATGCCAGTTTAAGATTACATCTGTACAGATGTTTGAGTGTTATCCTGCAATATGCATGAGTTTTCTCCAGATCATCCGATTTCCTCTCCCATGCAAAACACTCTTTGGCCATATAACAAAGTTAAGGACCCTTCTAAAAATAGTTTAAGTCAGTGAGGATTTCCTGGATGAAATTAAATAACCAGTGAAAAGGAGCGTTCTAGCTCATCAAATTCCTCCAAAATAAATAAATATTCTTATTACATTATCGTGGATCCTAAAACGATTGGGGTTAAACAGGCTTAACATTTAACTAAAGTTCATGTTTTTGCCAAGACGTGTACTTTGGGCAGATATATTACATCGGAACGTGACTATAACAGACTTCTTTTACATATCTTATTTAATTTATTACCCATTATTATCTATTGTGCAAGAAAAGTGGCGTTAATTGCTTGTGTGTTGATGAGGGCTCCGTGAGTTAGGGCGGTGATAGGGCTCAGCGGCAGCGCGTTTTCCGCTTGTTGCAGAGGTTCACGGTTAAAATGCAGTAGCCGACCAAGTTATTCCTATAAGAGATTTTTTTTTGGGTAAGGTCGCGTAAATATAAATGTGTCGTTCAAACCGGCACCACGCAACGCAGCCAATTAGTAAGGTTTGTCACGTAAAAAAACATGCCAGTTAGTTACTAGTTCATCAGCACATCGGTGTGTTGGAGAGTAACTGACAACATATACAATTCAAGTACTGTGAAGTTTCGTCTACAATTACAACCAGCTTCATCAGGCAACAGCCAGGATTGACTCTCCAACACACCGGTGTGCTGAACTAGTCACCAATTGACATGTTTTACTTACGTGACAACCCTTACTAATTAGCCGTGTCGGATGTTGGACAATTTAGCGACACGTATATATTTACGCAATCTAACCCCCAAAAAAACCTCTATTAGAGATAATATTGGTCGCAAAAGCCTACTACGTGTTAAACAGATTACTCCCGCGGATGTAATAAGCATAGTACGCACGCCGTCTGTTCACAGTGGACGTTAAAGATCATGACGTCATCAGCCAAGGGGAGGTCATTTTGTACCAGCGTCTGGGTCCAAGTTTGCCCAATTTGAAAATGACCTGCAATAACTCAATTGAGATTTTACACGCAACAGAAAATCATCACCTCCCCCCCTACTTGCAGATGAATGCCCCAGGTCACTCTTTTTACCTGGTTAAACAAATTTAAATTAAAACTTAGACAGTGCTCTGGCAACCCACAAATTATTATTTAACAAGCCTTGATATGCTGATGAACAATGAAGGCAAATGTTTGGTCCAGAGTTTGCTTGTTTAAATAAATGCTACTAAATATCACTGGTTTGGAAAACCCATAGGCTAATGAACTAAAATATTCAATTTCAAATTTCACCATATCTTTGAACTTCTACAGTTATTATTTTTAATAACGTAATGAAATCTAAGTTGGTGCTGACTTTTCAATGTCCCTACGGCATCACGTTAATTTCTCCAAGGCAAAGACAATGCCTTGGAGAAATTAACCCAAAGACAATGCACTATCAGAGTAATGAGAGCTCGGGGTGAGCATCTACATCATGGGACCTCCTTTGTCTTTGGGCCGTATGCCTTTTGGCATCCTCTGGTCTAACACTGTTTGAGACGAGGCTCAAAATAAAGCTGCCTCTGGTGTGGACCAATCAGTTTCAAGGACAATGCATATATTTTTTTGCATTCTGACCACAAGCATTGTGGTTAATGCAGACATGATTCATTGTAAAAGGTTTCAGTTTGGTGTTTCAACATCTTAACACCTGTTTTGTTGCCAGAAAATATAAGAAAAACCGATTATTATATTTTGATACTGGCAAAGGAGGTCCCATGATGTTGTTCTACTTCAGTTAACACGAACATGCCTAATTAATGTGATGTATGTGCGAACAAGGACTGCGAGGGATGGTGATGGCATGGGAAGTCCTTCATCCAGCAGTGGATTAATAATTGCTGCTGATGATGGCGATCACTTACATTGACCTCAAACGACTTCAATTCTCACAAATGAGATGCCGGTCATGGATCAACTCAGCCTGTAGCGCGTTCAGTTTTTAATGAGTATCACTTTGTGATAAGCCAACAGTTGTCCTTTGTATCGTTTGACCCCACCACCGAAACGTGCTTTGTGTACCACTGGCTCAGCACTGCCAATGGAAGATAAATGCCACCCCCCCCCCCCCCATTGCTAATCTGAGCGTAGAAACACTTTGAAATTAATTTGATTCGACAATCAACTGCAGCGCCAATACAGACTGTAAAAATAAAGCGGCCACTGGAGCACGTACAGTCGTGGGGATTTTAAAACGACTCTTCTATGACAGGCGGAGCTGCAATCTCTGCTCTCAGCCCACATAACAAAAGAATACACAATGTGCTCGATGACATGCTCATATATCAATCTAACAAAATGCATGGCTTTTCCATGGCAGCACAAAGGGCAAAGAAAAAAAAGCTTAGAAATAATTTTCCCACAAGTTTCGGGTGCATCACTGTGTGCGTGCGTGTGACAAAGTTTAAAATAGAGAGATCCCCACCAAAAAGGTTGAAAGGTGACAAATTATATGTTCATCTGAGCTAAAAAAATATGTCATTCACTGAAGTGTCCAAGGCATTTATTTCAACAAAAGTGATATTACAGTACAGCACTGGGCATAGCAATAATTGGAAGAGAGCAGATTGTATTGATTAGTGCAGCATTTTTAGCTCGGATATTGGAGGTTAACACCCTGACTTACTTATCAATGCCACAGGACCATTCACGCTAACAGATGAGATGGGGGGGACCTGATTACATTTTTCATCTGAAGGACCACATTCTCACTGTAGTATTTTCCCTGCTATGCCTAGAGTCCTCGATGAAGCCAGTTTAATGTATAAATAATCCTGGGCCAACCCTGCATTGATTGTGAAATGTTTACGAGACGCCCCGTGCTATGGACGAAAGGCCAGTAAGCAAAAAACCCAATGAAATGCAGTACTGTACATAATGTTCTCTTTAAAAAAAATGTTGAAAGCATTCGCCATATACTGGACATTGCATAGCAGCATATTGTACGTCTTGGAACAAACACAATATTGATCTACAAGGCACGGTTGAAACTCCAGCCGGATTATTGTTTCTAGGTTACGGGGTTTTCCACACACATAATGTCGAGCAGTAAACGTAACCTTCACAACTGAATAACCAAGGGCCCCTTTGCCATGGCTAGTGCACCCGGAGGGTTTGGTGTAGTGTAGTGGGGCGCGGTAGCTGTTTGCGCGCTGTGCTACGTACCCGGCGACCCGAGTTCGATTCCCGCTCACGGTCAAGACGAGCGACGATTATATGAAGCAGCCCTGGGTCTCCCCTAGGTCGACTCGGCCTCAAAATGAGCACCTGGTGCGGTGTGTAAACTCACGAATAGGGAGACAAAGGCGGCCGGGCGTGGTGTCGACCACCCACCCCCTCGTGTGCCGTGCCTGCCGTCATAGGTGCTACTCGCTAACAGCACTTGCCCCAACAGTCTGTTAAGGCTACACGGGGGATCTTTGTCTCTATCTTTGTGTAATGGTTAACGCACCGGACGGTTCGACTGCATCTCTCTTGGGGCGGCAGTGGATAATCATCGAGGTTCAGATATTACTTGGATGGGTGCATTCATGAGCATGAACACTATCACTGACTTTTCGGAAGCGACAATTGATCGATTTTGAAGTACTTACCAGTTATCGATTAACTCTATTAACATTCCCCCCACTTTATATAGACTGTAGCCTCCACGTTAATTATACGCCGCCAAATCACCACAGCCGGCGATGGAAATTCCACGTTCGCATGGCGGGCAGGTAGGTTGGAGGTGTTATTGCCACAGGACACACCGTTGTATGTAACGGACGAAACCCCGTATGATTATTAACCACGAATCACGATCAATTGCAGGTAACGGTTTAACAACGCGCCCGATGTAAGCGATGCTTTGTACGTGATTACAATGTAGGCTCCTCGGTCACTGCCCTGTTCTGTGTCGGCAACCCTCCACGCAGGCCGTACGGTGTTATCGGGGGTGGCATTCGACCATACTTCACCACGTTTGGTCAGTGCGGATTGTAGCACTGTGAATGTCAATTAAACATATATGATACAGTATCGATACATGCAATATCGCCCAGTGATCGAATCATCACAACCGGCACGCGGCGAGTGACAGGAATCGTATTCCCGTCTCCCCACGGCTCCGTTACAGAGACAAAGGTCCCCCGTGTAGCCTGTGACAGGCTGTAGGGGCAAGTGCTGTTAGCGAGTAGCACCTATGAAGGCCGGCACGACACACGAGGGGGTGGGCGGCCAGCACCACGCCCGGCCGCCTTTGTCTCCCCAGTGGCGATGTTTACACACCGCACCAGCTACTCATTTGAGGCCGAGTCGACCTAGGGAGGGGGGGGGCCGGTTCAGATAATCGTCACTGGTGGTGGTGGCCGTGAGTGGGAATCGAACTCAGGTGGCCGGGCTCGTAGCGCGGCGTAGCGCTAACCACTACCCCACCGCTCCCCCCACACACGGAGACATCTCCACAGCGCCAGTGGCGATCCCGTCCGCGCTTTCCCCTCAGAATGTCCCGGGCGCTGATATTAAACCACAACAATGACAGCAACAATAACAACAACAACACACCACAATAGGACTGTACACGCGGCCAGTACAGTGAAGCAACAACAATAGAACGGGTGGTGGTGGTGGTGGGGGGGGGGGGCACAGGAGTGCGAGGCGTAAATTAAACAACTGCGACCGATGTAAGAGGGCTCACCGCACGCTCCTTCGTAGCCGCGACCTCTACAACGGATGCTGACAAATTATTATCGACGACGACGAAACGCAGCGGGCGATTAATAAACAACAGCCATCGATAAGGCGCGCTCCGCCAAAGACGGAAATAAATAATGAAATGGGCGCGCGGGAGGGGGCGGGGCTGTTGTGGGGCGGGGGCGCGAGTGACGTCACGCGCACGCGCAGCCAATGAGGGAGCTCCTCCGTAGGGGAGGGGGTTTACTAGTGGGGGGGGGGGGGCTTGGTCAGGAGGGGATCCACAACCAATGAGAATCGGCGTTGATTCTGCACGTGGAATCCGAAGTGCTATCAAGCTCGATTTAAAGCTTTCGTGACTGCAGGGATTCATCTTCTTGGTTCTTTCGATAAAAGCGATTTGTTTACCCTCCCTATACTTTGCACTCCTGTCGTGTTTTTTTTTGTGTTGTTTGTTGTCACGTTGTAACCCCCGGTGCCCTTTTACTAGACATCTATGAAATAAAACATAATAAAATATTTTATTATGTTTTATTTGACAGCAACAATAAAACATAATATTTTATTATGTTTTATTTTTATTATTTTATTACTTCCCTTCTACGTGACTTGTTGTTGTCACGTTCTAACCCCCGGTGCCCCTTTACTAGACATCTATGACAAACGAAGAGCTTTATAGCATCTTCTTGGTTCTTTCGGTAAATTCACGTAGAAGGGAAGTAATAAAATAATAAAAATAAAACGTAATAAAATATTTTATTACGTTTTATTTCATAGATGTCTAGTAAAGGGGCACCGGGGGTTTGACCGTGACAACAACAAACAACACAAAAAAACACGACAGGAGTGCAAAGTATAAGGAGGGTAAACACATCGCTTTTATAAATAAAAAATATAAAAAAATAAGCAATTTGTATCTATTTTACCAGGTAGAGCCCACTGAGCTATTAACTTCTTTGTCAGAAGCGACCCGGCCATCACAAATGATAGCTCGACAAAGTGGCTTATCACGTGGACATTTATAGCAGCAGAATGATCTAAATAATCGAGACGCATGTTTCATTTGGTGGGTGTGGATAATTGGCAGGCGGGACCTCTCACAAGAAACGGTGTTCACTGGGGGTTGTCAAGGAGGTAGGGGGGGGGGGCATCGAGGCATGGAGTTCCACATTGAGGATGTGTGTGTGTGTGCCACCCAAGCCAGAGGGCATGGGGGGTGAGGGCATTAGCGGCCCACCGCGTGGGTGAGGAGGCCCTGTCGCGTCTGGTGATTCACAACGAGAGGGTTGATGCCAGCTGGGAGCGGGTCCCTGGGGTCACAGCAGAGAGAGAAAGAGAGCTGCACGCGAGACGGGACAGCTGGCTCAGCGGGTCGAGCGAGCGCGGCTCGCGGTCACAAGGTTGCGAGTTGGGGCGCCGCGGTGGCGAGGAGATGTTATCTCCCTCGCCTGGCATGCAGGAGGTCGTCGGTTCGATCCCGACCCTGACGCCTGTTGTATATTTGGAGTTTGCATGTTCTATCTCCCCCCCCCCCTCCCCCGTGGTCGCGTGGATTTTTCTCCAGATTTTTCTATCCATATTGAGAATGAACATCACGCGTTTAGAGTATTTGGCTGCTATTCGTTTCCCACGTGATAAGCCACTTCGTTGAGCTATCATTTGTGATGGCCAGATTGAGTCTGAAAAAAAAAGCTACATCGCTCAATCGGCATTACCTCGTAAAATAAAAAAAATAGTTCAGTGTTTTTAGTTCAAATCATGTTGGGGGGTTGACTCAGCCCATCATCCCTCCTGGGTCCAATAAAACGAGTTCCATTCTGTGCGGATGTTAACAGCGATTGTGTGATTGTTATACACTTTACCCCTGCCTAGAAATGTGGAATTTCCACCACTCGCTCAGGGCTGTAAACGGGAGATGAGCACTGAGAGTCTGGTCAACAGCACTGAAACTCGGACTGGAGCATATCTTTTTAGCATTGCTGTTATTGAATAATTGGCTATCGTTAATTATTGTTATTGAATCATTGGCTTTCATGAAGTATAATCATTGCATCATTGGCTATCATTAATAACTGTTATCATTGAATCATTGGCTATAATTAATTATAGTTTTCATTGAATCATTGGCTATCATTACTTACTGTTATCATTGAATCATTGGCTATCATTACTTACTGTTATCATTGAATCAATGGCTATAATTAATGATAGTTTTTTTAATCATTGGCTTTCATTAATTATTGTTATCATTGAATCATTGGCTATCATGAATTATTGTTATCATTGAATCATTGGCTATCGTCATCATTATTGCAGTCCCACGCAAATTATTGCGAGGACAGGAGTACTGCAGTGTGTATCGGCCAGGTGGAGTAACGTGTGTGTGAGTGTGTGCCGTGCTCGCTAACAGCGCTCGCCCCAACAGTATGTTACAGGCTATACAGGGGATCTTCGTCTTTGTATGGGGAGCGGTAGTATAGCGGTTAGCACGCTGCGCTACAAACCCGGCCACCCGGGTTCGATTCCCGCTCACGTTTAACACCAGTGACGAATGTCTGAACCGGTCCTGGCCCTCCCCTAGGCCGACTCAGCCTCAAATGAGTTCCTGGTGCGGAGTGTAAAACAACGCCACTGGGAAGACAAAGCAGCTGGGCGTGGTGCTGGTCACCCCACCCCTCCTCGTGTGCCGTTCCGCCCTTCATAGGTGCTCGTTAACGGCCCTTGCCCAAAGTCTGTTAAACTCAATAGGGGGGTCTTTGTCTTTGCACTTGAGTAAGGGCGAGGACGAATACACTTGAGAAATCACATAACAGGTTTCTGGGGCGCCAGGGCCACGAGGAGACGTTATCTTCCTTACCGATATATACTGGTATATATTTGGAGTGGTCACGAGGTTTTTGTACGTTCTGGTGGTCACGCTGATTTTTAAATCCTTTATATTAAGTTCGCTTGCTTGCTTGCGTGCTTGCTTGCTTGCGTGCTTGCTTGCTTACGACCGTGCAAACCCTTCGGTCGTTTTTTAACACACTTCCCGTGATCCAATCGAGCTGACATTTTGCACACAGACTCGTTGTGCGAGACAATTAATGTTCGTGAAATTTTTTTTCCAAAATTTTACACTGTTTAGGGAAAACAAATTAAATATTTAATTACCAATTGTTTAATACTGCAGACAATCATCTGACCCATAGGTGGCAGCCATCTCAAGCCAGATGACGAGAGGACTCTAGCCGCCACGCATATAAAGGATTTAGAGTGAAATACTTTGTTTTTACGGGTTATACTTATTAATTAAATCCTTTATATTAAGTTCACTTGCTTGCTTGCGCGCTTACGACCGTGCAAATCTTTCGGTCGTTTTTTAACCCACTTCCCGTGATCCAATCGAGCTGACATTTTGCACACAGACTCGTTGTGCGTGACAATTTATTTTCCTGAAAATTTAATTTAAAATACCAATGTGATAAAAAATAAAACTCTTACTCAAGAAAAACAGAAATGAATAATAAAATTAAACCGATGCCACGCATATAAAGGATTTATAGTGAAAAACTTTGTTTTTACGGGTTAATTTTTTCTCCGGGTCTCCTCCGGTTTTCCCCTCCACATTTAGAAACACGCATTTCGGTTAATTGGCTACGACTATAAACTCCCACGTGCGACGACATAAGCCACTTCGATGAGCTGTGGCCGTGTGTGGCCGGGTCGCATCTGGAAATAAAATAGCTCATAGCTCAGGGGGGGGGGGGGGGGCATTACATATTAAATCAAATGGTTTAGTTTGTAAGTTAACAAACACCCTGCGGCAGATGCAGTACGTAAACATACATTGCGACGGACGTTTCGTGCAGTGTCGCCTTTTTCATCGCACAAACCCTCACCTATACTGGGTGCTTCAACAAAATGTTTTAACACTTCTGAAAATTTGCAACAATACCACGAGAAATGTGCCTCCGGGCTCTGGAGACCACCTGGAGGAGATTCCAGGATTGCGTTGACAATGATGGCGAACAAGTGGAGAAGCTATTAACATACAATTGTTATCATGTTAGTGTATTATCCGTTCTTTTTCCATTAAAAACGATAGTTCCATATAAGTGTTAAAACATTTTTAAAGCATCCTGTATTTGTTCCTTTTAAGGCCACCACGGTGCCGTTAAGGAACGCGTGCGTGTTGAGCGTCCGTTGCGTGTGCCTGTGCACCACTGCCAATGTGGCCTCATCCCTAGTACGGGCGGCAAGGTGGTGGCAGCATATGGGCGTCACAACAAGAAGGACATGGGTTCGACTCCCGATTCGGGCGCCTTGTTGTGTGGGGTCTGTATGTTCTCCCCTTGTACTGCAGAGTGAGTGAGACTGGGAGGAGGTGTGTACGTTCTCCCCTTATTCTGTAGAGTGAGGGTGAGAGGGAGAGAGGGTGGATTCTGTTTATTGTCTTCTCTTGTTCTGTAGAGGTTTGCTCCGGGTTCTCCGGTTTCCTCTCATAGTTACTAATCCCACATACAATGCCACCGGTGTTGCCCTAAACACATCCCCATGTCAATGCTGCTAAAGCACCTACAAATTGCACAATTGCGATGACAAGTCGCAACATATCTGTATGGTGAACTTCTTTCGCACCGTACGTAGCCAACTATGCTAATCGGAGGCGTGGGGGAAGGACAACACACTACACACAGAAAAATCACTATCACTATATATATTAAATTGTGTGTGGGTTTGTGGCGGGGTTTTGTGTGTGAGTTTGTGTGTGGTCGTGCGCTTGGCTCTCCAACGGTGAGCCAGCGCGATACCTTTTCCCCATCTGTCAACTTTAAATTACTTTAATTAGCGATTTTGTGCAGTTTGCGATTATTTATTTATTCAATGGCGCGCGATCGACCATACCAAGTCACACGCGTTCGGTGGGGGGGACAGCTTTTACCAAGTCGGTAGGGGTGAGGGGGGCATTTTCACACAAAACGCTGACGTTAATTCTTCTAAATGTCATGTACCCCCCCCCCCCCCCACCCCAATGCGTGCGGTTATTGCTATAGAGTCCCTACATATTCATTTAGTTTTATTTGCGATTTTGTGCTATTTTCGTAAAAGAAAAAAATTAAATAGCACACGCTGGACCGTACCCACTCTTAGGCGTTCAGTGGGAGGGACGGCTTTTACCAAGTCGGTCAGGGTGAGGGGCACATTTTGATACCAAACGTTGAGGTTAATTCTTCTTAATGTTTTTTTTCGGTAAAGTCATGTACGTACCCCCACCCCACCCCAATGCATGCAGTTACTGCTTTCGAGTCCCTACATTAATATTATATAGCGCTTCGATAGCAATTATTGTAGCGCGGGTGGAGGGATTGGCCCAGCCCACAGCCTGCCAGGGAGCCACCTCGGCTGGCTGCACAATCTAGGCGAGGCCGCGGGTTCTGCACGGGACTAGGCCTCACCAAGGTAATGTTAAGTACAATTTAATTGCTTCTTTCGCTAAACTCACGTACGTAGAAAAATGAAATTAAAACAATTGGTTTGGAAATATAATAATTTTATTTGTGTGCAGACAACTTTTTTTTATTGCTTCTGTAATGGGTAAATCATCGGAGGAGAACGTCTTGTGAGGCAACACGATATTTATTAACACTCTATTTTACAGAGTCCCTAACACAAAGGGGTAGCAGCCCCTTCACCCGATACCTGGGGAGGTATGGTCTCCGAACTACACGGGCCTAACACTGGGACCCCGTTCATTCCCCGTCTTCCGGCTAGGGGCCGTAGGGGAGGCTATGCGGACCTGACCGTGCCAGGGTCTTCGGGTCCTGACCACTGGCCTCACTCAGCTCTGGCCCTTAGAAGGACGACTGAGCTTGGGGTCCAGGGTCCTATCCTCCAGGGACCTATCTTCCCTTGACCACTGGCCTCACTGAGCTCCGGCCTTTAGAAGGATGATGGAGTTGGGGGCCAGGGTCCTAACTTCAGCCCAGGTCTTCAGTCTTCGGCTTGGAGGTGACTGAGCCGGACCCTTGAGAGGTCTGGCTTATAGACTGGTTCGTGGCTTGCTCCGCCCTAGGCACGCCTCCCTTCCAGAACTTTCTGGAAGGTGACATAATCCCCCAGGCCCCCCTCCCGGGGTCCGGGGATTGTGTCCCAGGATCCGCTTCCCAGGGATTGTCATTGGCCCCTTGGGCCATAGTCATTAGCCTTGGCGTGATAGCGCTTCCACCCCTGTTGACGAGAACGGGGAGCTACCCGCTAACAGGATGGGGAGTGCCGATTAATGCCTCTACACTTCTTTCGCTAACCTCACGTAGATAGAAACCTATTATTTAATTAATCACCTTGTAAATAAGAAATTACTTTTTTTGCGTGCAGACAAATATTATTTCGTTTTCTTGCTTCTTTCGCTAAACGCACGTACATAAAACCTATCATTTACATCAGGGGTCCCCAACCCCCTGGCCGTGGAGCGGTACCGGTCCGTGGCCCGTTAGGAATCGGGCCGCACAGCAGGAGGAGAGCGGTGAGTCCGCGCATGGCTCGCCCCCATTATTTTATTTACCACTTCCGTCCGTGCCTCTTTCCCGCACTGCACACGTGTCTCAGTCACAGTGTTGGTAAGCCCACAAGCTAACCCCGGCCACAATGAGTAAAAAACAAACGTCGCTGGATACCCTTTTGGAAAAGAGGGAAAGGCCCAATGATGAACACCCCTCCCCCACCAGTCCATGAAAGAATTGTCTTCCACAAAACCGGTCCCTGGTGCCAAAAAGGTTGGGGACCGCTGATTTACATAACCTTGTAAATATGAACATAATCTTGTTTGTGTGTACAAACATATTATTTTATTTTCTTCTTTCGCTAAACTTACGTACATTAAAACTATTTTTTTTATTATCACCTTGCATTTATACGAATAATTATGTTTGCATACAAACAACTCATTTTCCACAATTGACTTGCTTTTTATGTGTGTGCCTCAGTCCTTCTGTCCGTGCGAGTCCATCTGCGTGTCAGCGACGGTCGCTTTGTGTTTGTGCGCGAGTCGATGCGTCTCTGTGTGCGTCGATGTTTGTGTGTGTCGATGTGTATGTGCAAGTCCAAGTGTGCGAAAGTCCATGTGTGTGAGATCTGGACACATTCCCATTAGTAAGCTCCTCCAGCAGGCAAGGCTGCGTTGGCTGGGTCATGTAGCCCGCATGCCCAAACAGCTTTTGTTCGGCCGGATAGAGGGGGATAAACGGGCGCGGCACTGGCTACAGAAGAGATGGAGTGACGTGGTACAGGAGGATGTGGAGCTGAGTGGACTTGCCGATGACTGGTACCAGAGATGTCAAGATCGGCCTCTGGAGGCTCGTGAAGGACGCTAATGGGAAGTTGGAGGGAGTTGCCCTCCAACAACAACGGAGGGCGGAGGAGCGACGCTCACAACAACGAGCGGAGCGTCGGGTGGCTAAAGCACAGCAAGTTGGCACAGTAGGGGTCACAGGTGGTGCATCAGCCAGTCATCTCAGTCAGTCGACCCGTGGCACCTGACTCTGCCCCGTGACCTCATGCCAGCAGGCGTTCGACACTTGTGGTCTCAAGGTGCCCATAGCCTGGCACAAGCGTCGTGGTGATGTCACCACCACTTAAGTGGCGAATGGCGGTTGTTGTGTGTGTGTGTGTTTTAGTCGATGTGTGTGTAAGTCCATGTGTGTTTAGGTCGATGTGTGTGGTTGTCTATGTATACGTGTGCGCGAGTCGCTGTATGCGTGTACGTCGATATGTGTGTGTAACTCCATGTGTGTGTAGCTAAAGTCGATGTCTGTGTGTGAGTCCATATGTGTGTGTGTGTGTAAGTTGCTGTGTTTGTGTGTGTGTAAGTCGTTGTGTGCGTCTGCCTTTTTGACCCGGGCAACGCCGGGTACTTCCCGCTAGTTCTAAATAAATTAGTCTTCAATCTAGATGATTAAAAGTGTCATAGCTCCAGTGGCTTTTCTAATTTCAGAAGGAAGAACGGTTCCGGTCATCTCCCCCGACCCTTCTGAAAGCGAGCCTTGAGACTCGGCAATGCTTTCCTCCGGGGTAAACAATCGCCATCACAACAACAAAAACGTGACGCAGACACAGCCAGGTATCAATAACTGACATTTATTCCATTGACATCACCCAGGGTCACCACGTCACACAAGGGGGGGTGGAGTGAGCAGGGGGGGGCGGAGCCAGCAGGGGGGGGGGGCGGGGGTGTTGGGCCGGGCGCCCACTACGCAGAGCGGCCACGTGGTAGGGCTCTCGTGGCTGGTCCCTCTCGCTGGGTGTTCTAGTGCTTGGACTTATCCTTGCACTTCTTGTCCTTGTGGTCCTTGTGGTCCTTGTGGTCCTTGTGGTCTTTGTGTTCCTTGTGTCCCTTCTGCGAACACACGCGACGCGGACAGACGCCACTCTGTTACGTTCGTGGTCGTGGTACACCCCGCGTTCACCCATCCGAGCAATAGCCAGGCTCAATATCCGCTTCGCATCTTCGATATGACGAGACGACGTGACTAGGGGGCAGAGTTGCTGCATAGTTCGTGATATATTTTAGTGACATCGGGGTTCAACTTTGACGGCGGCGCGAGCCTGAAGTTCGTGCGTTCCGCTGGGAACAGAAAGTCAAGCGGCTATTGCTGCCGCTCTCCGCTATTGTATGTGTATATGTAATTTGAACCTCTTTCGCACCGTACGTAGCCAACCGTGCTAATCGGAGGCGTGTGTGTTATTGGTTGAGAGCTGGCATCTTTCGTTTGAGTCACTGACGCCTCTATATTATACTGCCCACAGGATGGATCATCAGCAGCATGAACCGTTGGGCGGCGGAATGGCAGAGCAATTGTAATACCCGTGCCTCACAGCCGAGAAAATCATGGGTTCAATTCCTGACTCGGGTGCCAGTCTCTGCGGAGTTGGTCTGTTCTCCCCCTGTTCTGCACGGCTTCCTTGGTTTTACTTCCCATGGATAAATAAACAAAATTGCCGCTGGCGAAACATCCCAATGCTGAAAAAATATAATTACCTGAAAATTATTCGATTGGGATCACACACAGAGGCAGCATCCCCCCCCCCCTCCACGGCTAAAACTTCGCAGGACCCTCCTGAAAAAGTCTTGAGACTCGGTGAGACTTTCCTGGGTAAATGAGCGGAATTATAACCAAGCAGCATTATTCATGAGAGATGTATGTATGTATGCACGTTGAACTAATTTCGCACCATACGTAGTCAACCATGCTAACCGACATCATAAGCTCAGCATTGATCGCAATCAACCGTCGCCTACAGCTACAAGGGTAACATCATCATCTGTAGGGGGGGGGGGGGTCGAGAAAAATCGGCACCACTTTGTGCTGAAAGCTAGGGTGGCAGCAATGAACGAGGAGATGCCGATCGGTAGTTACCTTGCCATCGTCGCTGTCAGATGACGACGAGCTGGAGCTCTGTAACAGACGGACAGACACACACAGACGGGCCCGTGTCACCCCAACATCGCTCACACTGCCTCATCTGAACATCACACCACCCCACTTAACGTCCACTTGTGCTGCACGCAATTTAGTATTCAACATTGATTTACGTTTGTGCGATATTATTTTTCATTTCTCATCATCATCATGCGAGGAAGTTTGATTTTGCACCGATTTCTATTTGCTCAATTTGTTTGTTTTGACTTTTTGTCATTTTGTTGGCATTCTGGCCGCCTGTTGCGAGTGAGACTTTATCCTGGACTCTCGAATCCTCACGTGGCGACGCAAAGCCAACTCGACTTCACCCCCTCCCTCGGTATCTCACTCAACCAATCACCTACTCGCTCACACACTCGCACACACCCACTCACTCACCAACCCACCCACTCTCATTAGTGGGACTATCCTGGTCTCTTGAATTCTCAGCTTGGTGAAACATAATCAACTTTAAAACCTGAATAAGAACATCCTCCCCCTCTCACCCAGCTCATGTAATTATCACTCGTGTCACTATCGAGAAGGCTCTCGCTGCTGTTGTTGTTGTGGGGTTCCCTCGTGCGTGCTCGTGGCTGCGTGGCGCCTCACCCCTTCCTTCTTCTTGCCCTTGCAATGCTTGTCCTTGTCCTTCTCTCCGCACTCTGCAACACACAACACACACCGCACGCTGCAGCCCACCGCCCTTCCCGCCCCGTGCTTCCTGCACTTCCTGCCCCGTGTTTCTCGCACAAGTACGTGTGGTTAATGCAGACCTTATTCCTCGCAAACAGTATCTATTTGGAGTTTAAACATCGTAATACCTATTTTATTGCCAATCGGTCATTTGCCACAACTGGGGGACTCGGGCGTTGTGGCAACGCTCACAAACTGTCGTGGCGGAGGGGCAACACCGGACCGGAGGCGTTGCCTCCTCCACGTGAATCTGTGCGATTCCACGTCACAATAACCACGAGGACTTCGCTCTACACTAGCAGTGGGGGGTAACGTGATAATGCGAGGTGATTTTATAAATGTGTGAAAGTCTGTCGTGTACGCGAGAGTCATTGGTGAATGATCGTCTATGCGAATCTGCCAATAATAAATAACTGCGATAACATTTTAACCCAGATGGTAACCTAGACCGATGTAAAACGACCTTTATAAACTCGTTGACCGTAAACAATGTGGTTTCCAAGAGTAATCAGTTACCAGCTAGTTTAGGGAGACCTCACAAAATGGACATTTGGTTAAAATATTGATGTTCATTATTCATACATTTATTTCTCTCTCTCACGTTGAGTCGGGAAAGAGGGGGGTTACTACTTGATTGAAACAAAATTCAACGAGGGAGA